CTTTTGGGATGAGCACTGGGTGTTGTATGGAAACCAATTTGACAATAAATTTCATATATAAATAAAAAAAAAATTTGATGGAGTATGCCTGGCTGCCTCAGTCAGTAGAGTATGCAACTTTAAATCTCAGGGTCGTGAGTTCAAGCCCCACGTTGGGCATGGAGCTTATTTAAAAAATCATTTGGAAAGATACTTCAGGGAAAACAAAAGAAACAGATAATCCCCAAAGGTCATAAAAGACAACTGCATCAACATCTTTCAATGGGGAAACTAGAAATTAAAAAAAAAAAATCATAGATAGCATACAAGGCAAAACTTAGTAATAATATACAACAGAAGATAAGTGGAATGAAATTTCTTCTTTCCCCATCTCCATCTGTCTGATATCTTAGATTAGATATTTTAAAAGCAGTGAATTTGCTTGTCTTCAATCAAAGATGAATATGAAAAATGAACTACCAAAATTACTGCCAAATTAACTGGCGCTAAGGAACTAAATCTAGGCGCAAAGGATTGCTAAAAAAATATTCAGTTTCAACCTTGGACAGAATTTTTTTAGCAAAATATAAAATTATCATATAAAACATGAACGCTAAAATAATGATTTATACAATCTGAGGCTTTTCCAGGTATGTTACCAGTCTTCTTCATTTGAAACATCAGAATTTAAGAAAAATAGAGCTTCTGATTTCCCATAGGCACATTGTGGCTACCTAACTTCAAATACTGCCACATAGACTCCCCCAAAAGCATTTATATCATCATCAACAACAACAACAACAACAACAACAACAACAACAACAACAAAATGGCACTGCCTATACTCTATGACAGCAGCAAGGAAGCAGAGGATATAGAAATTTTTGATTTACATGTAAGTAAGCATTATCTGGATTACAAGCCAGGGTAGAGGGTCAGACAAGCAGAGGATATGGAAATTTTTAATTTACATGTAAGTAAGCATTATCTGGATTACAAACCAGGTTAGAGGGTCAGACAAGGATAGTGCAGAACAGAACATAATACACCAGGATACTAGCTGTGGTAGAATACAGATAATAGTGATGAAGGTTTACCCCCAGAAGGGGAGGGTTGTGTCTTGAGAATACCAAGAAAAGATCTAGAACCCAACAGATCAGAGCACTGACAATAGGGAGTAAAAAGAAAGCATCTTAGTGCATTGGACCAGCAGAAGCACCCTTAGGAAGGCGGTTTCTGGGGAGAGATTGACAGCTTTGTCATGAAAATGCTTCCCAGAGGCTTGGTGGTGACAAGAAAGAAGGAAGCATCTGATAATAAGGGCTTTAGAGAAACAAAATATTATCAAAGATTCAGAGGAAGAAAGACTCTACCTAAAGCACCCTTTATTAAAGAATGTTTGCTTCATAGACAATAAGGCTCTTGAATTAAGGAACCAATTAAGCTTCAGTCCAAACCCAGCTTTCTCAGTGTGTAGAATGACCTTTTATTTCTTGTCCAGGAAAACCCAGTGCAGCTAATAATGAACAAATAAACAAAATTCTCAACATCTATACAAAATAACTAAAAATAAAACAGAAAATGAGAATGAAAAGCTTTGAGTGTAAAAAAACATCAAAATTAGTGGGGATGAAAAAGAATAAACTGTAATGCAACACTATCACATACAATTTACTAATTCAAATAAATGATATTACTAAGTAGTTGCACATATGAAAAAATACCATGAACTAAAACTCCAAAACTAAGGGTAGATATAGACAATTAATAGGACAATGTCAAACAGGGGCTAACACAATTGGGGGAAAAAGAAGACAAATTGATCTTGAAATTAAGATTGAGTTACATGCTGACTGAGAACACAGTAAGGAACATAAGATATTTTAAAGAAAATTGAAATAATTAGAAAATAAAAAAAATGGATTTGAGTGAAATTGTTAGTTTTGGAATTTAGACAATAAAGATCCAACAGACACATGATTACAGATCTTAGGAAAAGAAAAACAAAAGAATGGGGCAGAAATAATAATGATACTACTACTAATACTACTAATATAAATTATGCATGCATATAGCTTTTTATAAAATTAAAGAACTCCATATTGAAAAAACCCACTGTGTATCTAGCAAACGTGATACATAATGGTCAACTCCAAGGTATAGCCCAGTAAAATGATTAAACTATAAAGAAAAAAGTAAATCTCATGGTCTCCAGGCAAAATAACAAATTACTTACAAGGAAAGTAATCAGGAGGATTTAGAATTTAGACAGTGAATAAAATAAAAATGGAACAACATTTTCAAGAATTCATTTAAAAAAGTATGAGCTAAGGTTTTTATATCCAGCCAAATTTTCCTTTAATGTCAGGCACATAAAAAAAAAATAGTTTTAAGCATGTAAAGATACAAGAGGATATTTTGCTCATGGGTCCGTATGATAAACCTACTAAAGGATGAGTTTATCTAATGAAAAAACTTGGGAGATTTCAACTAAAGAATTGTGTTAAGTATTGATTATACCTAATTGTAAATGTAATATTAAAGTAAGATCTAGCTAAAGCTGGAGGAATAATGCTATATGCTCAGATAACATAGAAATGATGGAACAAAAAAAAAAAGGAAGAAGAGAAAGAAAAAGTAGAAAGAACTATGAATTATTTCATTGCCTCAGAGGTACTAAATAAGGCTCCTTGGGTGGCTCATTCAGTCAAGCCACCTACTCCTGATTTGGCTCAAGTCATGATCTCACACTTCATGGGATCAAGCCCCGCACTGAGCTCTGAGCTGACAGTGCAGAGCCTGCTTGGGATTCCCCCTTTCTCTCCTCCTGTCTCTCTCTGCCCCTACCCAGCTGGCACACCTGCACTTTAATTCTCTCTCTCAAAATAAATAAACATTTTTTTTAAGTCCAAGGATATTACATAAAGCTGATAAATCAAATAATAACGACCATGAAAAAAAACTAAAGTCATTATATACAGGTATTAATATAGAGAAAACCATTAGGACATGAATATAAGTCTTTCTAAATAGCAAAAGAAATATAAAAACACAAGCATTAACAGAGCATATGATGTAAGACATATAGTAATTACAGCAATGCATGCAGAAAATATAATTTAAGCTATTTGACTTAGCTGAAACAAAACACATTTGATGAATCCCTAATTTAAATGCAAATGGCCTTTAATCCATTCATTAAAGAGAAATATTTTTAGATTGGCTCACACAAAAAGTCTAATTTTATGCTATATTCAAAGAGATGCACTTTGTTTTGATGTATCAACTTTTTTTGTTCATTGTGTTCATGAAATGTATATTTCTGTGTTTTTACTTTCAATCTTTTTTGGTTTTTAAAGGGTGTTCTTTATAAGAGGAATATAGTTGGTCTTTTTAAACCTAGTCTGACAGATTTTTCACTTATTTATAATAGTTTATTTTTATGTAATGTAATTATGATATTTGGGGGTAAACTTATGATAATTTTTTATTTGTCCCATATTTTCTTTTCCTAACTTATACTTTGTTTTTTTTTCCTGTTTTATCCTTTCTTGTCTTCTTTTGAATTAATCCGTTTTTTAATCATTCCACTTTCCCCCACCCCCATCTTCTTATTAACTTGTTGGTTATGTATATTTAAATTGTTTTTAAAATGATTATCCTAGGGCCTAGATATTTTTACATATATCTAATTATTCATGTATTTTAAACCCCATAATAATTGTCTTTGTTGTTTTAAACAGTGAATGTTCCTGCACATTTAACCACATATATACTGTTTCTCATGTTTTTCATTCTTTCTCTGTGTGTGGTTCCAACTGGAATCATATCCATTCTACTTGAAGAACACACTTTGGTATTTCTTTTATTGCATTTCTTCTTGGAAAATATTAAATTAAATTAAATATGTGGCCTGATATCTTTTGTCATTTTGGAAAATTTTCTACCAATGTCTCCTTAATTTTTTTTTTCTGTTCTATTCACTCTTCTCTTTTTCTGGGACACAAAATATATGCAGGTTAGATCCTTCTGCCATTTTCCATTGGCCCCTTTTCTGTATTTTCTATTTTTTCCTTCTGCTCTTGAATATGAATGTTTCTTACCAATCTATTTATTTTACACTTTGCTAATCTTTTCTACTCTGTCTAATCTATTAGCCCTCAATGAAGTACATTTAGAGGGGACATACTTCAACATAATAAAGGCTATATATGAAAAACCCACAGCAAACATCATACTTAATGGGAAAAAAAATGAGAACTTTCCCCCTAAGGTCAGGGACAAGACCAAGATGTCCACTCTCACCACTTTGATTCAACATGGTACTGGAAGTCCTAGCCACAGCAATTAGACAACAAAAAGAAATAAAAAGGATCCAAATTGGTAAGGAATAAGTAAAACTTTCACTATTTGCAGATGACATGATACTCTATATAGAAAACCATACAAACTTCACCAAAAAACTACTAGAACTGATAAATTAATTCAGTAAAGTCACAGGATAAAAAAGCAATGTGTAGATCTCTCTTACATTTCTCTACACTAATAATGAAGTAGCAGAAAGCAAAATTAAGAAAAAAATCCCATTTAAAATTGCACCAAAAATAATAAAATACCTAGGAATAAACCTAACCAAAGAGATGAAAGATCTATAATCTGAAAACTATAAAACACTCATGAAAGGAATTGAAGTCGACATAAAGAAATGGAAAGACATAAATAAAAACATTAAAAATTTTTTTAAAGAAAAAGGGGCACCTGGGTGGCTCAGTCATTTGAGCGTCCGGCTTTGGCTCAGGTCAGATCTCACAGTTTGTGGGTTCGAGCCCTACATCGGGCTCTGTGCTGACAGCTTAGAGCCTGGAGCCTGCTTCGGATTCTATGTCTCCCTCTCTCTCTTCTCCTCCTCCGCTCATGCTCTGTCTCTCTCTCTCCTTCAAAAATAAATAAAAACATTTAAAAACATTAAAAAAAAAAAAGAAATGGAAAGACACTCCATGCTCATGGATTAGAAGACAAGTATTTTTAAAATATCCATACTATCCAGTGATCTACAGATTTAATGTAATTCCTATCAAAATACCAACAGCATTTTTCATGAACTAAAGCAAAAAATGCTAAAGTGTATAAGAAACCACAAAAAATCCGAAATTGCCAAGCAATTTTGAAAAAGAAAAGCAAAGCTGGAGGCACCACAATTTCAGACTTCAAGTCATACTACAAAGCTGTAATAATCAAACAGTATGGCACTGGCACAAAAATAGACACATAGATCAATGGAACAAAATAGAAAACCCAGAAATAAACCCAAAATCATATGGTCAATTAATCAGGAAAGAATATCCAATGGAGAAAAGATAGTCTCTTCAACAAACGGTGTTGGGAAAATTGGTCAGCTACATACAAAAGAATGAAAATGGACCACTTTGTTACACCATACACAGAAATAAATTCAAAATGGATGAAAGACCTAAATGTGAGACAAGGAAACCACCAAAATCCTAGGAGACACCAGAAGCAGTAATGTCTCTGACATTGGCCATAACAACATTTTTCTAGATATGTCTCCTGAGTCAAGGAAATAAAAGCAAAAATAAGCCATTGGGACCTCATCAAGATAAAAAGCTTCTGCACAGTGAAGGAAAAAGTGAAAAAAACTAATGGGCAACCTACTGAATGGGAGAAGATATTTTCAAATGACATATCCAATAAAGGGTAAGTATCCAAAATATATACAGAACTGATACAATACAACACCCAAAAACAAATAATCCAACTAAAAAATGGGCAGAAGACATGAACAGACATATTTCCAAGGAAGACATCCAGATGGCCAACAGACACATGAAAAGATGTTCAACATCACTAATCATAAGGGAAATGCAAATCAAAACCACAATGAGATATTACCTCACCCCTGTTAGAGTGTCTAAAATCAACAACACAAGAAACAACAAGTGTTGGTGAGGATGCGGAGAAAAAGGAACCCTCATGCACTGCTGGTGAGAATGCAAATTGGTGCAGCCACTGTGGAAAACAGTATGGAGGTTCCTCAAAAAGTTAAAAATAGAACTACCCTAAGATCCACTAATCACCACACTGGGCATTTACCCAAAGAATATAAAAACATTAGATCAAGGGGAAATATCCATCCCTATGTTTATAGCAGCATTATTTATAACAGCCAAATTACAGAAGCAGCCCAAGCATTCATCAATAGATGAATAAAGAACAGGTGGTACATATATACAATGGAGTAATATTCAGCCATAAGAAAGAATGAAATCTTGCCAATTTGCACCAACATGGGTAGGGCTAGAGAGTATAATGCTAAGTGAAATTGGTCAGGGAAATACATATACCATATGATTTCACTTATATGTGGAATTTCAGAAACAAAACAAATGATTAAAGGGAAAAGAGAGAGAAAGAAACCAAGAAACAGACTCTTAACTATCGAGAACAAACCGATGGTTACCAGAGGGGAGGTGGGTGGGTGGGATTGGTAAAACAGGTGATGGGGGTTAAGAAGTGAACTACGTTGTAATGAGCACAGAGTGATGTATGGAATTGAACTGCTATATTATACATCTGAAACTAATCTAACACTGTATGTTAACTATTGGAATAAAATTTTTTAAGGTTAAGAAAAAGGCAGATATCATATATGAAAAGCTGTAGAGCCACTGGGTAACACTATCTTCTTCCAAAGAGTATTTAATGCTATTTTGGCAGCCCTATAACATATCGGTTGACCTCCTGGATCCAACTGATGGTACTTTATTCTTGCTGAATCTTATTTTTATGGCCTAGTCCCAGGTTGTTGACCAGAGTCTCACTTCCTTACTTGCAGGTTCACTTTTTTTCCTGATACTGCAAAAAACTCCTTTTAGCTTTTTTAGCCTCTTGTCACTACTTCAGCTTCGTTTCTTAGCTGTTCTACACATGCATAACTTTGAAGTCAGCAAATGCCTCAAAAGTGTTCCTCAAGGGAAAAATTGTGCATAGTATATCAGGTTCACATCTGTGTGTCATCCTTTTCCTCTGGAATCTTTTTCCAGAAGTCCTGGTTACCTTGGATATTCTCTGATGTCTTCAAATTGCTGTCTTTTTCCTTTATTTATTTTTTATGCTAGCTTTTACAAGTGTTCTTGGGAATATCGGTTTGATACCCGTTATTCCATCACAATTCAAAGTAAAAGTTTATCCTGCTTTTATTTTTTTTCTCCAGAATATGTTATGTATGCTGCATTTACTTGCGTATTCATTCTATATCTCCTTAATGTAGTGCCTTGAGAGAGGAGCTGAGTTTTATTCACTGTGAAGTCCCAAAGCCTAGAAAAATGGCTGGCGTAAAAAAGGCACTCAGGAGGTATATTTGAAGGAAGGAAAGAGATCAACAAGCTTGTTGCTCTCCTAATGATTCTTTCACCCAGACACACCTGGGAACTTAGTTTCAGGGCTTCTGTTTATCCCCTTTGATCAATATATTTTAAACTTCTGCTCCCCAGCTCTGCACATCCCATTAGCTACCAATTTTGTTAATTCCATATTTTTAATGTCTTTCCGATATGCCCTTTCTTCTTCATCCTTGCTCTATCAGTTTGGGGTGTCATTATCTCTTACCTGGTTCTATAAATTAATGCCCTACCTCTAGTTTTCCTTCCCTTCATTATATATGTTTCCCTTACATATGCTTTCAGTGTTTTTCTCAAACACAAATCTTATCGTATTTCAAGGTTTTAAAAATGTTTAAGAATATCTGGGGCGCCTGGGTGGCGCAGTCGGTTAAGCGTCCGACTTCAGCCAGGTCACGATCTCGCAGTCCGTGAGTTCAAGCCCTGCGTCAGGCTCTGAGCTGATGGCTCAGAGCCTGGAGCCTGTTTCTGATTCTGTGTCTCCCTCTCTCTCTGCCCCTCCCCCGTTCATGCTCTGTCTCTCTCTGTCCCAAAAATAAATAAACGTTGAAAAAAAAATTTTTTTTAAATAAAAAAATAAAAAAAAAATGTTTAAGAATATCAATGGCTCAACACTGTCTACAAGGATAAATACTGAACTTTTATTCTCATAAAATACAGGGAACTTCAAAATGTCTTGCAATAATAACTTTTTAATAAACCTTGAAATCATCAGAATATTCATACTAACGTGTCTGAAAGTCCAAGATCATAATCGTATCACCATGATTTTAGGCATAACTCTTGATGCCCAAAATGACTCAGGGGAGTGATTATCCCAAATATATTAAGGATTAGACTAAAGAAGAAAGTGCTATGTAAACATTCCATATAAATGTGTGCTATTGTTGGTTGGCAAGAAGTTGTACTCACACCTACTTTTTAATAATTCTGAAAAGACTTGCATTAAACTGACAGGACTTCTCATACTTGATGGAATATTGGAATTAAAATCATATTAGTGGGGCACCTAGGTGGCTCAGTTGGTTAAGCATCCGACTTCACAATCTCACAGCTCATGGGTTCGAGCCCCGCATCTGGCTCTGTGCTGACAGCTCAGCGCCTGGAGCCTGCTTCGGATTCTGTGTCTACCTCTCTCTCTCTGCCCCTCCCCTTCTCATGCTCTGTCTATCCCTCAAAAATAAATAAACATTAAAAAAATTTTTTTAATAAATAAAAAAATAAAATAAAATCATATTAGTATTATTTTACTTCTTGAATACTTACCAAGTGCCTGCTCTATGTCAATGGTTGTCTAATTCCTCATAAGTAGGTATAAGATATAGGATTTTTTTTCTCTCAAGGGGCACAGAGAGTAGTGATTCCACATAATTCATTAACTGAAGTAAACACTGTGCGGTCACTGTTTTCCATTTCATTTTTAACTTAAAAAGTTATTTGAAATACGCAAAATGCTTAAGATCCTTTGTCTCTCATTGGCTTCCACACTGGATTAGTGGTGTATTTAACAGTTTCTGTATCATTACCCAAACCTATAGGAAACCATAATGTAAGTCAAATTTTCCTGGAGACTGTAGGGGAGAAAAGACAACAGGAGTTGAGACACTGCCCAGAAGGGCAGGGGAGAAAAAAGAGACTAGCAAAGAAACTTCTAAGGAGTCAGAGTATTAAAAAGGAAAAAGAAAAGGGATGCAAATGTTTTAAGCCCCAGTTACCTTATCTGCAGAATAGAAATAATATATTTAACTTGTGCAATCAGTGGGAAGAAGGAAGTATCAATGCAAACGGATCTATTAGCATGATGCCCAATCTTCAGGTTTAGTAACGTCTTCTAAATATTGTTGGTTTTGTTTCCCTAAAACTACAATGGTGCACAAGTAACCAAAATCTATAGCTAGACTAGAAGCCAAATTCCTTATCACCAACAGTATTTAAGATACCTGCTCTTTGAATCACTGCTTATTTTATTTACTTAAACAGCTAAAAATGCAAAACTTAACAGATGATTCACCCAATTGTATTTTCACTGCGGAGACATAATTAAGACAAAGAGTCTCTTCCATTTTTTTTTTTCTAAAACATTCCCTTAGTTGTTGCAATCATGAATTATTGTGAGTGGCATTAGCAGTGTAATGAAAAACTGTGGGTCTCATCAAAATGAATCGTACAAAATGTCCCAGGCAGAAGCACTGGGTCAGGGAGCTAGTTCATGTCTATTTATGTTGTGATACTTTGTTTTACGTGGGAGGCTTCACAGGCTTTGCTCTCACCTAGGGGGCACTGTAGAAAGTCTAATGATGCCCATTAGTACCTTTGTCAGGGCTACTGTGACTTATAGATTCTTTATGTTAATCGGGATTATGCTTCCGGCATATTTAAAAACCCACTACAATTTTTTTAAGCACTTAAGTCAAGTGATTTGAGAAAAGCTAAGCATACGGCCTCAGGTGGTAGAGGTATTTCAGGAATGACAGCACCAAAGAAAAAATAATTAGCAAACCCTTTCATGATAGCTAATTTTCACTGGGCCATGTGCAGTCTATTTTTATACCACCAGATGCCCCCTTCAATGTAGTCTTATTTTTATTTACATAGCCAAGTTATTTCTAAAGTTGACAGAGATCTGTCAATTTGTTCTAATTGTGTGGAGAAAAAATTTACCAGGATCACATGACAACACCCTCTGCCCCACATCCCCAAGCTTCTTACTCTGTGAGGTGAGTTGGTCTAACATCAAGGTTGAAAATAGCAAGCTTTCCCCACAAGGCCATGAGGGGGAAGGCTTTGCTATTCAGTTCATTTCGAGATCTTATCACCCACCTGCTAATTAAAACTTGAGCAGACTTATTCAATTTGGTAAAATATTTCCGGCCAGTGCAATCAATGAAGCTTTTCCAAAGCTACTTACTAAATAGTATTTTTCCTAAATTTCAGATTTTCAGTGGACTGTTCCCGAGGTGGTCAAACAACTCTGACAAAGAATTTCCTCTAGGCTTTGATATCTGAGTACATTATTTCTAGAGAAGGGGAAAAAACAAAGCTCTGTTAACTCAATAAGACAAGAAATGGATTTTTATTACGAAGTTATTTTAATGATTAGCTATACCATAGTGGCTATATGAACAAAGCCAATGAACATATAAAAAGGAACTTGATTCCATTGTAATTGGGGAAATGCAAATTAAAATTGAATGAGATGATATTTTACACCCACGAGAATGACCAAAATAAAAACAATAGACAACAGAAGCATTAGGATGTAGGAAAACTGGCACCACTGTGGGAGTCAAAGTTGATACATCTCCTAGTGGTGAATAAACACATACCCCATCAATCTAGTTTCACTCCTAGGCATTTGCCCAGCAGAAATGTATATGTATATTCACCAAAAGACACACACAAGGAGGATCATAGCACTGTCAACCTCTAATCCTGTGAGTGATTCTTTCTGACCTCGGACATGCTTTGTTACAAGCATATGCTGATTACTAAGCAGTAGAGAGCTCTCTGCACACCTCCAGGTTTCTCTGCCAGTTGTCTCCTTTCCTGTACCTTATCCCATTAACGCTAGCTGCCCTGTTCTGCCCCACCTGTCAGCTCCACCTCCTCCACTTGGGCAATCTGATCCCCCCCCCCCCCCGCCAACACACACACACACACACACCATGACCTGGAAACTTTCCAAGGCTGTAAACTGGAACAATTACAGAGACACATCATGTGTTTTCCATCTCTCTCTCGGAGATCATTTCCCAATGTCTTCGAGACTGCCGTTTCTATACTTGGCCCATTTTTGAAAAACATCAGGCAGTTAGGAAAATCCCGTTCCTGCGACACCATCTCCTCCAGGAGCTAACATCCTGAGGAATACCATTTTGACCACAAAGAATTACAGAGGAATAGTCTATGCTTCTTCAGAATTGGGCGTTTGGCAGCTATTTTCTCGGCAATCGACCAAGCAAGCCTGTCACTTCACACAAAACTGATAGCGTTTGTGGTCAATGATAAAATTCAAGCTTTCAAACAAAATTTAGAATTTTAGAAAATGTGTACCTGCCACCATCAGCTTGTTAGCATCTGAAATACAGAAACATCTCTAATGAAATCAATGGCAATCTTAACACGTTTTAACATTGTATAATGAGAACCGTCAATACAGAAAAGGCTACATTACTTGCGGCGCTAACAATTTTTAAATGACCAATGCATATCACAAAATCATGCATGAGTACAACATCTATTTTAGGTACAAGATAGACCAATGGATTTTAAGGTAACATCATGGATATGGTTTCAGAATCTGCACCGCAACTGAGTTGTAAGGAATTACCACTTCTTGAGTTCTGGTAGCGTATTGAAAAGGTTTTTATAATACTCTCTTCACTTACAAATACAGACCTCTGTGTGACCAGATTTTCTTTATATTCTCAATTGAAAATATGCTGCTACAGACAATTTACTGCTTTTGAGATTGCCAGTAATTTTTAGGCATGTAAAGGATTTCTGAGACCAAAGGTTGGTATAGAAAACCACAGACCAGAAGACTTCTTTACAACTCTCCTTACTGCTTTCTCATTTGAAACCTTCTTCTTAATCAGCTTTCTGTGTCAGGCCTGCCCTTGGTTCTTCTCCAGTCTGCTCCTTTCATTAACACCCAAGCTGTGTTCACAGTCCTGCCCTAATGACCCTCAAGATTGAGGGTCCCACTCTTCAAATCCAGGCATCAGCCACTGGCTAGAGAACTACTTGGTGCAACCGTGAGCCTATCTGATCTCTGCCCATTGGCCCCTAACAGGCAGACTTTGGACTCTATAGCACTGTGCTCCTTCTCCTTACTTGTGACCTGGTAACCAGGGCATCTCCAGGGGACTTTCAGCTTTTTTTCTTACTGTGTGCTGTAAAACTGCCTGCCTCTTTCTGAATTTCAGATGCTCTTTCCTAGTTCCCAAGAGATGACCTCCAAATCTTTATTTATAAAAATAATTGTATGCTTCCAAGGAGGGTTTGGGTTTAAAAGTACGTCTACAGGGGTGCCTGGGTGGCTCAGTCTGTTAAGCATCCGACTTTGGCTCAGGTCACGATCTCACAGTTTGTGAGTTCAAGCCCCACATCAGGATCTGTGCTGACAGCTCAGAGCCTGGAGCCTGCTTCAGATTCTGTGTCTCCCTCTTTCTCTGCCCTTCCCCTGCTCGTTCTCTCTCTCTCTCTCTCTCTCTCTCTCTCTCTCTCTCTCTCAAAAATAAATAAACATTAAAAAAAAGTTAAAAGTATTTCCACAGAAGCATTGCACATCTTTAGTGGATCTTTAATAGTAAAGTATACTTTCCAATAGGACTGAGTGTGTACATGCCGGGAACAGGAAACCATTTGGGGATATGGGAGATTTCCTGGTGCTGTGCAAGACAAACACCTGTCTATGATGTGTATGTGAAACTCCTCCCCTTTGCCTATTCACAGTTGCAATGATACAGAGCTTTTATTGAACTTTGGCTTCAGGGAGTAGGTACTCAGGACTCCCAAGCGTTTTGTATATTGTAACAAGTAACCAAAAGACCATAATCTTATATTTATTCTTTAGTTCTCCAAAGTCCCTTACTTTTGAAGTGTTGTCTCTAAAACTATCCATGCCATTTTCTTGTCCCAACAGGCTCTCTCCCTGAAATTTATCCCAACATCAATACAATTAATGACCCAGAAGAGCATAATGTTACTTCTCTGGAGTAACTTTGTCTCAGATAATTTAGGAAAAAAAATATATTACATAAAATCAATCCTTGGGAGTTCAGGGAAGGGAGGTGGGAAGGAACAGTTGCCAGCTCACGGTGGTTACCCTAACCCGAAAATATTATTCTCAGTGCTCAACTTGTAGTGTGTGCTAAGTAAATCTTTTGGATGAATAAGCAATTGTGTGACTGCCTGCAAACAAACTAACCTATAGTTGGACCATTTGCAATGGGGAAGGGGAAGAAGGGAGGAAGAAAGGGAAGAAGGGGAAGGAATAAAGGAGGAGGGTGGAGAGAAAGAAAGAAAACAACACCTTTCCAAATGAAGTGGATTTTCCATTTGATGAAAAACCCATAGTGCACTCTTTCCACCCCAAAACCTCTATTCTTTTAGTTGATCATTTCAATTATATGTTTTCTTCTCTTAACTAACCGGGGGCTTACTATGTGTCAACAGGAGGACATAACAATGGAGACAGAGAAAATGGGGATGAGAATGGAAGGGAACTACATTTTATTTATAAAAATACGGTACACAAGTCTATGAACAAAAGAAAAGGAAATAAGTACAAGTAGATAGATGCCTAAGTTCCTATTAAGTTATACTCCTCTGTCAAGTAGCATTCTAAATTATGTTTATTCACATATCTCTCCAAATATAGATCATCTTGAAATTTTCAATGTATATATTTTAGGCATCTTTATTTTGAATCACTTTCTAAATGGTACCAAAAGATTTTAAGACAACCTTATAAGATGGAAACATTCAAATTGACTCTATGAGAAAAGTTTCAAAGCTCAAACACGTTTGTTTATTATGCATTGAGGTTTATCAGAGCTTAGTATTCATTAGCTCATTTAATGCTCACCACAAGATGAGTTAAATGTAATGTTTATTCCTGTTTTACAGATGACAGAAGCAAAAAATTAAATAATTTGACCCATTTTACTACCATAAGCGGCAAAATTAGGATTCAAATGAGGAAATTCTGTCTCTACTACATGTGCCAAAAACATAACGGCCACTAGTACCTTCCTTCTCCATTTATATCACCTAAACCATGTGCTTAATTTTTTATTGTAAACATAGAACAGTGGTGAACATCCTAAGAGGCCAATCAGAAGCTGGGGCCAGAGTAATGAGGTGATTTATGGAGATACAGTCAGATGGCAGGGCATGGAACTCCCCTTTGCTGACTCTCAAATGTGAGGTCATTTTTCTTCTGAGCAGCCAGAAATGTGTGATTCACACAATCAGACTTGCTTATTTGTGATATGTGACAAGACAGATTGCCTGAATGTAAAGAATTATTAAAGTCTATTCAACATAAATGTAATACTGAGTAGAATAAATAACATAAGAAACTTGTTATACAATACTCACAAAATCTGTGTAACTTGAATCAGTGATGCCTTTACTATAATATTCCAAGCCTATGAATGCAATTACAATTTCATTAATATTCATACTAAAGCCCAGAGAGTTCTAGTGCTCACTAACCCATGTGTGAAGTCCAGACTTTTTTGGAGCTCCTGTTCTTAAAGTATCTCTGGGAATTTCCATTGTTCTACCGCTTGGTCTATCATCAGTCACTTGTTACTGATAATCAGCCACCATTGCCCAAAGCCAGTCCATGCCAATTCTCCTTATGAAATAAAAAATGCTCTAGAGGAGTTGAAGGGGAAAATGACCTTTCTCTCTGTGTTCAGCTCAGTTACAGGAAGGCCAAAGTTATTTTGCTCCTCATTATAATGCCAAACTTTAAAAAAAGCTGAATCTATTTTCATCCATAGCCATTCTTCTCTCCAGGTGCTCACAGGCCCAGAAGGAATATATTGGTTTGTCCCTATGCTGGATTTACCAAGCAAGACTGCTTCTTCTCTGGGGATGAATTTTTCTTTCTAGGCATGAGAACATTTCTTCTTAGATTGTCTTGCCTCATACCAATCACAATGGCAGTTTGAAACATTTCCCTATAGCTGAACACCTAGTTTATCAGTGCAGGGAAGGCACACTGTTGAAAAGTGGGGGTAAGGTTGGGGAAGACAGGAAACAAGATCCATCCAATTTCACAGGACAAATTTATCAGCCAGTCCTGCCTAGTTGGAACACCCATATACATTCATGGGTGAAAGTTCCATAGACATCCTCTCCCAATAACCTTGTAGCAGCCAATTCCTTCATTGACAGTTCATTACACAGTGGCATATATTCCCCTGCTTTAATTACATTAGCTAAACTAATGTGCCAAAGATTTTTTTTTTTTAAAGAAATCAAGGGGCTACTAAATTTTCAAGTGCACAGCACCAAAGTTCAGGGTCCCCAAACAAACATTTTTCATAATCTTTGAGGAGATCTCCTATGTGTCTTATAGGTAATTGCTCCTATACATGTTCCACCATGCAGGCAGGTCCTTGGGCCAGGAAGGGGACATTGTTTCCAGAGTTCTTCCACATAGAATCACGTCATAGAAAATTATTCATTACTTGTTAAAATGGTACAGAAATCTTCATCCAATACTACTGTAATAGGGGTCAACACCATTGCAACAAGAAAGGGTGAACTCAACTCTGAATACAATAACGATGAGTGGGGATTTACAACTAAGGGACAGAGTGAGGGGGGTTGACGGATGGAAAAATCACTGAGAAGAGACACGGTGAGGGAGTCTTGCTAAAGTGGCCTAATAGGATTCTTGCTAGAAGCAAGGCAAGGTTGAAACACAGTTGAGAAGACGGCTCAGAGGAGTCTGACTAAAGTTTGGTCAAGGAAGGAGTC